GTGAAAGACTTGTACACTGAAAATTGCAGTATTCTGAAAAAGGAGATCTAAGAGGATATCAGAAAATGGAAAGATATCTCCTGTTCCTTTAATGGCAGAACCAATAGGGTTAAAATTACCATATTTCCAAAACTGTTATATAGATTCAATGCAATGCCAATAAAATATAAATAACATTTCTACAGAACTGGAGAAAGCAATCCTAAAATTCAGTGGAACCAAAAGAGATTTAGAATAGGGTAAGGCAGAGGCTATCACAATCCTGAACTTCAAGTTATACTATAGTGCTACAGTGATTAACAGCATCATGGTATTGGCAAAATACAGACTTGTGTATCAAGGAACTATGGAAGTCAGTATGGATATTACTCTAAATATAAAAATAGAAATTCCATTTGATCCACCTATTTTCCTTGAAGGTATCTTCCCAGGAGTTAAAGACATATAGCACAACATATAGGAATTTATAGGAGTGCATTTCATAAAAGCTAAATCTTGTAAACAGCCTATATGTTTCTTAGCAGATGAATGGATAAAGATAATGTGGTTTTTTAATCACAGTGGAATATTACTGTGTCATAACAAAGGATGAGCTTGAGTCCAAATGGAATTTTATTGAAATTAATGTGCACATTAATTTGTAAGGCATGAACAATAAAAATACATTAAATATTCTGCATGAACTAGGGGAATGATAAAAGTTTACAGCATATCTTGCAATTTAATTAATTTGTCATTTGTTAATAGGAAAGTGCATTTTGCTGTTTTGTAGGTAGTTCTGATATAAAATCAACTGTGAGACGCACAAAAATGAATGCTTTTTTATCTCTTTCAGGTAACTACCAGTTGAATTAAAAAGTATATGAAATTCACGTAGAAAATACACAGATAAATGCAAGAAATGGCAGTAGAGAAATAAAAGAACAATGACAGGCCATATAATCCAATTTTACAATTAACTCCTAAAACATACACAAAAAAAAAGATTCACTGAAAAAAAACAAAATCAAAATAGCTCATTTGAAACCAAGTAAAAGAGGATGCAAGCCTTATTTTTTGGTCTACTGCAGCTTAGTAATATTTTTTGTTTTTATAATTTAAGGAGCAGTATGTATAATTTGTTCTATGTATAATGCATATCTGATTGTCGTTATACCTAAGAGAGTACAACACAGATTCCTTGTTTGCTGCCTAAAATAAAATTGTTCAGCTAAACCATGTAGAAATAATAGAAAGTAGTCCATCATTTCTGTTATAATCTCTTTAAAAAGATGGTTAGATCATTATTAAATGTTTAAAATGTTTCCTAAAGTATGAATTCTTTCATAGATTGGAGGCACCATACATACTCAGTTTCCCATAATTTATGGTTATTTTATAGTATTTTTCATGTAGGAAGAGTTAGCACATGCTACATGGCTAGAGTAATAAATTTCCTGTAGCATCGGTTGCACTGCCAATCTTTTGTTAGCAAGGTCAAGTAGATTTGAGTGTACCTTAAATTACAGGTACAAGTGCTTGTTTTGATATGCTCCATGTAATTTTCAGAGCAACAAAATACTCCCTTGGTACAACTAATTTATGATTTAAAACATTGAACTATACATGCATAAGTGCCTTGCATGTAGATTGCTGCTGGAGACACAGAGGAAATTTGTAGGTGTCTACTCCTTAATAGTTCATTTGAAAATAGCAGTAATCTTGTTTCTCTAGTGGCTTTTCTATCTCATGAGAGTTACACACATGTGCTTACTGGAATCTAAATTCTATACAAATCTTAGGTATTTGTTATATTTGAGTTCTATTTTGGCATTTTCTATATTTTTGATATATATTCAATTTAATCTACTTTAGATACTTTTTGAATTTGTCTTTATTAATAGGTTAATATGAATCTGGTTGTTAAATATTTCTGTGGGAATCTTTTTGGATTGATAGATAGAAGCATCTTGAGAACATATATTATTTTTGAACATTTATTCATGGCAACTATCCCAATATTTATGAATGGTTTACTGAGAAGATGGGCAAGCTTCCTTTTTCTTATGCTTGTCTACATTATCTACATTGTGAATGTCAGGAATGACAACATATTTAAAGTATTCAAGAAAAATTTTATAGAATATACCTGTGATTTGCATCCGATTTTGCTTTTTTCTCATGACAACTCATGTACAAAATGAGGAAATATTTTTATATCACCTAACAAGAGTTCATAGAGTACAAAAGGTGAATCTTGGGCCAAGGATCTAGCTCAGTGGTTGTCCCGCCTGCCTCGCAAGTGCAAGGACAGGAGTTCAATCCCCAGTACCAAAAAAATAAATAAATAAAAAATAAAAAGGTGAATCTTATTTTTAAGATTATTATATTTATTTAAAAAATATTTCCTCAAAGAAAAAAATGTGAGATAATGAAAAGATGGACATAAAGTGTTTGTAGATGAGGAGGGGAGTACAAGATCCCAACAATGAATGTAACTGTACTGTATCCCTAAAATGTACCAATAAACTCAATTAAAGCTGAAAAAAAAATATTTCCTTCAAAATCCCAATTTTATGTAAGGGAATTTCAGAGTGGCTGTTGAAGAAGACCAATGAGCATAAAATCAATAGAAACTAAGTTACAGTGCTATAAGAGTGAAATGTCCTGGTATGCTATTGTATAGTTTCAGTGAGGTACTATACACTCCAAAAAAGGTTGGAGGCTTTGGAACATTTTCACCATAGAGAAATGATAAATGTTTGAGTAGATATATAAGTATAACTAGGTTTAAACATTATGCTTACGTGCGTACATGTATCAAAACATAAATGGTAATATTAATATTATGTATTTTTAAAAATATGTATTTGGATGGGGAGATGACTCTTGCTTTGCCCAAAGAGTTAGTCACAATTAACATGCTCTTGAGCTTTCATCTACCATGCATTTTATAACAGTTACAGCTGAGGAAATTATAAATGATGTGCTATAAAAGTGAAATAAAGTTTAGATGTTTATTTCAATAGGCTCAAAAATTCATATTTCTGTGATTGTGTAAAATGAAGTACAGATTTAAAGCCTTAAAAGAAGCTGAGCTGGGCATGGTGGCACATGCCTGTAATCCCAGCACTTTGGAGGCTGAGGCAGGAGGATCACTGTGAGTTCGAGACCAGCCTGGGCTGCACAGTGAATTCCAAGTCAGTCTCACTACATAGTAAGACGCTGTCTCAAAAAAACCAAAAAAATAAAAATAAAAATAAATGAAAGAAGCTGAATATCCATTACTGTTACAGCTAGGAAGTAAGCATTTATCTGAAATACAGATATATACTCTGGAAAGAGTATTACTTCAAATACTTGTTGGAATATGCAGAAAGCAATATAAGAACAGAGTATAACCAGGGGATCTGGTAGAGTTTAATCTGTTGACATAACGATGAAATAAAGATTTTGAAACTACTTGAATTTTTATCAGTTTGACAAAGTTTTATTATAGCTGGGATAAAGTGGCTTACATGGGACACTGAGTAGGCATATTGCAACCCAGAGATGAATAAGCTTTTATATTTGCCCAGCGTTAGAAAGTCGCATTGTTGTGGTATGTAGGATGTATATTGAGATTGTACCTCATTATTGCAGGCATGACTATTAAATGCAATTACAGAGTCAAATTGTAGTAGAGAACTGTAATAGACAATTCAGTGTTCGTTCTTAAAAATCTGTTTTGGTATACCCTAATTAATTGCATATTTCTCAGTGCAGAAGATGGTAACAGGTTTAATATAATTTAGAAAAGACAATATAGGGCATATATTGTTTAGAAAAGACCCTTTCAATTTTCTCATTCCATGGGAAAGTTATGGGTCTTATTCTATTGTAGTATAGTACTATATATGGTATTGTAGCATAGTATTGTTCAAGTTTTATGTGTACTGAGTTATTGTAATAGATTTAGTCTCACTATCAGTCATAGCCATCCAAGAGTAAGTGTGTAGATTTGTCTAGGTGGTAATATGGATAGTTTCTAGTTAGGAATATGCAGGTGTTGTTCTGTATTAGAGCTTACAAGAATTTGATGTTCTTAGTGTATTCTGGGTCAAGTTTCCTGGAATATGTAATATGAAAAATGAGTAAGAATTAGATATTATTTAAGGATAGAAAAAGCTCTAAAATGCATAGTAGTGTACACTTTTAAAAACTCTTAATTTTAATAGGAAGGATATGTAATATCCTATATTATATATGTATGTGTAATAACTCTGAAATTTATTGGCCTTACACAATTAAGATTTATGTATGTACTGTTCACATGAACAAATGTAGTTCATTCAGGGATCTATGGTTTGGGAAGTCATCCTGATATTTGAGAGTATCCAGTATTCATTGTAGGAAGGGAAAAGAGAGACTAGAGAATTATGTGTGGACTTTTTATGGTTGTAGCTTACAAATCTTCTAATCTTGCTTTGTTGATTTACTCACATGAATAACTAAGGAAGCTGATAAATGTAGTTCTCTGTATACTTCAAGAAGAAGGAATGTGATACTGGAATTGTTAATATGTATCGTTTTTGGCAAATGTGGTTTCTTAGTACAATTAGTGGGTTATGTCTTTGTTGTAAGAATATTTAAAGACTTTTGGGGATGTTGTGGCATATAGTATTAAACCTCCCTCTAAATGGTGATGTGTACCCTCTGCCTTCTGCCAGTATCAGGCCGTATGGAATAACTTATCCCATTAGCATGCTGAGCTCAAATGTTAAGCACTCAGAAAGATTTTTTTGTGGGAGGTGTGGGTAAATATTGGGTTATCTTAGTTTGTAGCTTCATTTAAATTTGTAAGAATTTAAAATTCCAGTTCCAGTTATGAGTAAGATGGAGAAAGAATACGCTACCCTACTTCTTCCTGTCAGTACCAAAATAAAACCATACATGGACAGAATCATCAAGCAGCTATTTGAGAATTCTGAGATGTAAATCGTGGCAGGCTTATTGGAGAAGAACAACAGAATTTGTAGTACCTTTAAGGTGGTGGTGTGTTCATTGTATTTCATGCTTCTCCTGTATCCCCCAGGGTAAACTAAATGCACTGGAAAACAAATTGAGCACAGGATATAATGAGAAATCAAGTGCACCAAGAAAAAAGCAAACCTCTAGTCCTAGAGCAAAATTTCTTGTTAATTTTTCTTTTTTCACTTTGTCCTCTTATGTCCTAGTGCCCATGCAGTGTTCTCATACTAGAAACAGAGGAAGCAGTGGAGCCAAAAAGACAGGATTTCAGTTTGATTAGTGGAGCTAGTGTCCTAACAGGGTGAGACAAATTCTTGAGTTTTACTGTGTCTTCCTATTTGTAGTCCCAGATGTGGGCAGTTACAGAAGTACACAGTAGAGTGGGACAAAGAGTCTCAGAACTGTAACATATCACAGAGCTCATAGAAAGGAAAAAAATGTGAGAAAATAATTATATAATTTTTAACCCCTCCCTGTGTTATACTACCATGTATCTAATTCACATAATGGGTTTTGGTCAGTCTGGTAAAGTAAGAAAAGACAAAACAAGTTAAAGAGATTGGAAAGAAAGAATACAGCTGTCAACGTTCATAGGCAAAATGATTTTCTACATCCAAATATGCACATAAAGTTCTAACATTCACTTTAGCAAGTTCACAAGATACAAGGTACTAAGACAAAAACATACTTCTTTTAACAAGTGTAGTAAGACAGCAATTTTTAAAATGCCTTCAGTGGTAGTTTCAAAGTACTTAAGTGTGTGGATATAAATTCCACAAATCATATACAGGGTCTTTGTCCCCAAAGCCACAAATTTCTGAAGAAATGAAGCAAATATCTACACAAATGGAGGCATGCCATTTTCCTGGTTAGGAAGATTCAACAGTAATGGTGACGTGAAATTGATACATAGATTTACCACAACATTAGTCAAAGTCTGGATATGCATTGATAAGGACAAGATAAATCCAAAGTTTATATGGGAGGACAGTGTAACTAGGATAGCTAAAATGATTTGAAAAAAATATAAAGTTGGGAGAATTATACTTACCTGGCTTTAAAACAGTTTCAACATAAAATAATGCAATGTGTGATATCAACAGAGTAGTAGGTAAATACATCATTGAAACAAAACAATCCAGAAGTCTCACGCATTTATGAATAATTGATTTTTGGTAAAGTAAAGGATACGAAAGTAATTCAACAGAGGAAGTATAGCTATCCGTCAAAACATGAGCCTTGACCTGAATCATGTACTAAAATTTAGCTCAGAATATTAAGTTTAAGTATAACATAAAACTAAAACTTTTAAAAGAAACAGGAGGAAACATTTGTAATCTATGTTAAACAAAGCTTTCCTAGACATTGTAACAAAAGTATGATTCGTAAAATAAAAAAATGATAAATTTGTTATTACTTCATCAAAATTAAAAACTTTGCTCCACAAAAGATGCAATGAAAAGATATTCTACACACTGGGGAAAGAGAATGCCAAATTTTTATTTGACAAAGATTTTATATCAAGAGTATGTAAAAGACTCAACCTTCAATAGTCAGAAACAGTCCAGTTTTTAAAATGTAAGCAAAAAACTTAGATCCTTCACCAAGGAGAATATGAGTATCAAGATAGCTCATAAAGAGATGTCTTTGAAGATGAATGGATATCCAAACTGGCATATCTATTCATACAGTGGCATACCACTCATCAATTACAATGAATTAATTCTATACCTATCTACGTATAAATACTTTATTGAACCTCAAAGGCAGTACATTGATGCCAAAAAAGGAATCTCAGAAGGTTACATGCTGATTCCATCTGTATGTCTTTCTTGAAAATATAAAACTATACTGATGAAAAGAGATAGTAATTACTGGAAGCTATAAATGTTCAAAGGGTGTGACTGTAAAGCTGTAAGGCACAAGTGAGGGTTCTTTGATACAGTGGTTTTTATTTTATTGTGATAGTTATTAATTCTATGTATCTGTTAACATTTTTAGAACTGCACACCAAATATTTAAATATAATACATTTTACTACATGATCTTTTTAAATTTATTTTTATTTTTTTAAAAAGCAAAACATTAAAAAAAAAAAAAGGGGCCGGGGATTTAGCTCAGTGGTTCGGTGGCCTGCCTTGCAAGCGCAAGGACCCGAATTCAATACCCAGTACCAATAAATAAATAAATAGACAAATAGATAGATAAATAAATAAATAAAAGCAAAACATTTACTGGTACATTTTAGATATGCATCATGATAACAGTAGTTCAGTGGTTCTGCCGCCTGCCTCCCAAGAACAAGGTCCTGAGTTTGATTCTGCATACCAAAAAAAAAAAAAAGGCAAAGTAGACAATATAATCATTTAAAGTAAAATTCATTGTAGAAACAGTGAAAAAATACTTGCATATGTAAAACCTAAGTATCAAATATTTAAGTTATGTAGTCTGATGTTTTCCTGTTTAATTTCTTGCATTTACTAGCTGCAGCACTTTAGGATATGTTGTTAATCTTGCTTCTATTAAATGGACCAAGGCTTGGCTAAAAGAGCCAGCATAAGGTTAAAAGACTGGACATTTGGCCTTGCTGCTGGTATGTTTTGATCCTGAAGTACGTAACAGTATGCATAAAAGACTTAGATCATCACCTATGTGTAAATACAACCTGTTTCTACTGTATACTTTCTAATTTTGAACTTTATAGGTTCTTTTTCAGATGTTGGGAAATAGATAATTAAATCTCTAAAGTATTTATGTGTCCATGGCATGTGTCCATTGTAATAGTGATGGCTGCCATTTGTAACATGGCCAAGAAGTTTTCATAAAGGGATTAGAGAATGGTGGCATGCATGCCACAGCCGGCTGTTGTTATTGAAAGTTATAAAAGAATCTTCATCACTGGGCTAGAACATTTAGTCCATTATGAGAGATATGTGCATTGAGGTTAAACTGCAGAATTATTAGGCATTGAGAGGATTTGTTTTCTTTTGTCTAAGGCTGTTTTGTTCCTTAAATATAAATTCTCTTAAGTATCATATACTAATATGTAACATCATATGAAGCTTAGAAGTGATTTTATATGTGCACTTTAAAATTTTTCATTTCCTTCACAATAGATTGGAGCACATAAGTCATAATTTTTTAGATATTGAGGGTGTTTCACCATATTTTTTAGAAATGGTGAAATATGACATTAAAATCTATTACAAAAGAAAGGAAGATACAAATGTATAATAGCCTGTCAATAGAGCTCACTGGAAAGTTACTAAGTATCCATGACATGATAAAAATTCAGTTTATAAGTTGATAAGTGAGCCTGCTTCCTCATCAGTAAGATGGAAGTTATTGTGGGGAAATTTCATGGCCAACAACAGGCTTATTGATTTCACCTGCAACACTAAGTCTTGTAGTCTTGTATCTGTCCTTACATTTTGTTGTTGTTTTGTTTTTGTAGCAGGGATCAAACTTGGGATCTTGTGCTTGCAAGGCTGGCAGCACCACTGAGCAAAATCCTTGGTCGCTGTCCTTACATTTTACTGTGTTACTTCTTACTTGTTTGCTCATTTGACTTATTTTCCTTTTTTGATTTTGGTATGAAACTCTTGTCTGCCCTGGCGAATGTAACTGTGTGTGTGTGTGTGTGTGTGTGTGTGTGTGTGTGTGTGTGTGTGTGTTATTGCATAGTCTTCATTGAGATTCTATCTTCAGGAAAGTCTTGTCTAAAAATGATTGCTAAACGTATTTGCATTTGGAAGCATTTGGTTTCCAACTGTGAAGAAAAGTAACTCTTTTAATTTATTGAGATTATTTTGTGATTGTATTACTAGGAAATAATTGTCTTAGGTGTGAACTTGAGTAGATTTCTTTTACAGTTTTATTCCTGCTGAGATAGCATTCATCTAGAAAGATTTTGTAGTGACAAATAGCATAGAATCAATGGTATTTGATGTTTTATATACTTTTAGTCATCTTTTGAAATTCTTCAGTGTATTTAATTCCTACATTAGGCTGCTTAAGAAATGAAACTGAAAAATGTCATAAGAGTTTTCTTTTTTACTTTACATCTTATTTGGGACTTATTCTACATCTGAATTTATTCTGACATTTATTTTGCCTGTAGGAGTTCTCAAATGATTAAACATATCCTTTTAAAATGGAAAGGTGTTGGATCTTAGGAGAAATCTTTAATTTTTGCATAAGTTATATTCTTCTTGATAAAAAGATATTTATTTTAAAAGCCAATCTAGCTATGATATTTTTCTTGTTTCAGTACAAAGCATATCAAATGGCTAGTTTCTGCTTTCTACGAGTTGCCTTTGAAGTGAATTTAGTTTACATACTCATTCTCAATCATTGCACTTATAAACTAGGTGTATCTTCATGATATATCTATAGATAATAGAAGTACCTTAAAGATAATAAACCTTTGGATCACAAAATTTGAATTTTCTACATTAGTTTTTTTTAAGTTAAATGGAAATTGAAATGAAGTTATAAGTAAAATCAGTCAAAACATCAACTACACAGTATATGTTTGCATTAAAAATTAGTTATATTTATCCATAGTTACTAAGTATTCTCAACTAATTTTGGGCCAAGGCAGCTGAGACATTTGTTAATAATATGAATTAGAAAGCTCTGGAGGCATAAGAAATATACTAAGTTATTTCAAGTATTGTACTATTTCTTTCATGTTGTTCCTACGGTCTAGCCTTCATTTTTTTATGATACTTAAATATTTTTTCCTTATATATAGCTTATTAAAATTGGAAGATAGTATTTTTAAGAAAGAAACCTATAGTAGATTATTAGTATCATTTTTCTTAAAAGAAGAAAGGACTCAAAACTATTAACCATTCCTGAAGTAGAATTGCTTCTTAGAGAACATATGTTACAGTATTGTCTATTGAAAAGTTTAGCAATTTTATATTATGATATCATGATTAGTACACTTTTTGTCTATGAAATAAAATACTCCTCTCACAATCTGTTCCTAGGCATTGCTATACTTTTCAAGAGAATGTTCTATGTTGTATATATTAGATCTGGCTGATACAACTACTTGCTTTCTGGATTATC